AATCAGTCAGTGTTAAAATGCATTCTTCCACATCAAGATAAGGTTGAGTCAAGTCTGTTTCGAACTGGCAAGGATCATACATTGGGACAAAGGTATTGCCCGTCGGCGCTTTCTGTTTGTGATGATGCCATCAATAGATACTGTGCATGATTTCTTTGCTTATCTTCAATTGCACATTTGTACTTGGCATTTTTAAAGTTTGGTATGACGGAGGCATTTTATTATGCTACCCCAAGCACTTTTATCTTTTGCTACCCCTTTTGAGCCTTAATTTGTATTGTTCCATACCCCTCTTTTGGAATTAGAAATAGAACTAGGAACTAGAAAAGGAAAAGAAAAGAGGAAAAGAAGAAAAAAAGGAAAAGAGAAAAAGAAAAAAAAGAAGAAAAAAGAAGAAAAAAAGAAGAAAAAAGAAAAAAAAAGAAAAGAAAAGAAAAAAAGGAAAAGAGAAAAGGAAAAAAAGGAAAAAAAGAAAGAAAAGAAAAAAAACTAACTTTGTGTTTGAACTACGCTCGACCTGATTCTTGTCACCTCAAGATACGTAGGTAGCCTTACGGTTCGGTCGCACCAAATAAAATGTTTCATAATCCCCGAAGTCAAATGTGGGACGGTTTTTTTAGAAATCCCATCAAAATAAAAATCCAAAATTCCCAGATCCAAAGAAACTGGGGCAGAAATTTTAGTTTTGAAAATGACCTGATTCCAAATGTTGTAATTTTGAACCCTTTTCATATTAAATTATTTTGAGCCTTTATACCATCCTTTCTTTCCAACCCTGTCCAAAAGCCTACATTACGATCCAAAGAAAGACCTTCTGACCAATCTTTGAGGATGCCAAATCAAGTGTGTGGTGAAAGTATGATCTTCATGCATCATGGGTAATACCATTCTTCTCAGCACAACGAGAAAAAATGATAAAATAAGAGAGTCTTATCGGTGAAAACCCTCAGGGGCACCATAAGGCGACGGTGAGTTGAGAAAAGAGCAAAATGAGATAAGATTGATGGTGAAAACCTTCAGGGCACTACAAGTCGACTGAGGATTGTGGATCAAATGGGACAATTGAAGCGTTGAAGCCTAGTTTCACAGCAAAAAGGTACAACAAGAGTTGAATATTAGATTTTCTTGAGAGATTAGGCCACTTAATCCAAAGGTGCATGTCATGGTCATTAGAGTTGGTATCCACATCTGATAAGTTTCCACTTCGTAATTTTCTGGTTAGGTATCATCTCTTTCCCTTGTCCCTTATTTTGTTCCTCTCGTTTTGTTTGAGTCCCTTCTTGAGTCTGTTTGGTCAGAACAAGTGAGAAATGACTTCAAAATTTGCTACCAGCTTTCCAGTTGCACAAAATGAATTTGGCTAACACATCAAAGTGGCATGCATCAGGGAAAAGTGGTATGCGCATTGAGTTGGCAACAATCAACATGCTTTAGGATTCATGTGAAATGCAAGGGTTCGGTAAATGTCAATCCATGAGCAAAAGGCACAGATAGAGGATATTGGGAACGAATGGAGCAGAGGTGTTTTCTGTGATAAGGGTTGAAAGAAAATGGACAGTCGATAACAGTCGAGGTCGTCCAGGTTGAAATCAAAGTTATCTTGGCAGTGGCAGAAGTAGACACTCAGCAATAATGCCACAAACTAACCACCACGTTTTCAAACTAACAAAATTTTATTCGTCTAAAATAGGGGCAAGAAAATTTGTTAATCCACAGGGACCCTCCCATGAAGAAGGCATGGCTCAGGGGCAAGAAATTCGGTTCAGAATCCTCCAAGAAGAGAGCACGGCTCAGGTAAGTTCATTCTCGTATTTTCAGAACCTTCCTGGATAATGAGATTTAATTTAAAATTCTCAGGACCCTTCTGGATAATGAGATTTAGTTTTTGAATTTTCAGGACCCTCTTGAAAAATGGGATTTATTTTTTAAAAGTTCTCAGGACCCATCCAGGATAATGGGATTTAATTTTAAAAGCTTTCAGGACCCTCCTGGATAATGAGATTTAATTTAAAAGCTTTCAGGACCCTCCTGGATAATGAGATTTAATTTAAAATTTTCAGGACTCTCCTGGATAATGAGATTTAATTTAAAAGTTCTCAGGACCCTCCTGGATAATGTGATTTAATTTTAAAAGCTTTCAGGACCCTCTTAGATAATGAGATTTAATTTAAAAGCTTTCAGGAGCCTCTTGGATAATGGGATTTAATTTAAAATTTTCAAGACCCTCCTGGATAATGGGATTTAATTTAAAAGTTTTCAGGATTCTCCTGGATAATGGGATTTAATTTTAAAAGTTCTCAGGACCCTCCTGGATAATGGGATTTAATTTGAAAAGTTCTCAGGACCCTCCTGGATAATGATATTTAATTTAAAATTTTCAAGACTCTCCTAGATAATAGGATTTAATTTAAAAGTTTTCAGGATCCTCCTGGATAATGAGATTTAATTTTAAAAGTTCTCAGGACCCTCCTGGATAATGGAATTTAATTTAAAATTTTAAGGGTCGACCTGGATAATGGGATTTAGGTTTTAAATTTTCAGGACACTCCTGGATAATGAGATTTAATTTTAAGTTTTAGCGTAAGTTCTCCCTTTAGAAAATATAATTTAGCTTTAAAGTTATCACTCTTAAGATGAGATTTAATTTGAAGTTTTCAGGGCCCTCTTGGATAATGGGATTCAGCTTTTAAATTCTTAGAGCTCTGTAGGTAACATGATCCGTTTAACACTCACAAATATGCCCAGATCCCAATCTGGGGCAGAAAAATTTCTTTTCTTTTGTTTGTTTTGTTGAAATATCAGGAGCCCACCTGGATAACGAGGGAATACAGTTCAAGTTTTAGCAATCAGGCGCCCACCTGGATAACGAGGGAATATAATTCAAGTTTTAGCAATCAGGCACCCACCTGGATAACGAGGGAATACAGTTCAAGTTTTAGCAATCAGGCGCCCACCTGGATAACGAGGGAATACAATTCAAGTTGTTGGTAATCAGGCACCTACCTGGATAATGAGGGAATACAGTTCAAGTTTTTGGCAATCAGGCACCCACCTGGATAATAAGGGAATACAGTTCAAGTTTTTGGCAATCAGGCGCCCACCTAGATAACGAGGGAATACAGTTCAAGTTTTGGCAATCAGGCACCTACCTGGATAACGAGGGAATACGATTCAAGTTGTTGGTAAGCAGGCACCCACCTGGATAACAAGGGAATACAATTCAAGTTTTTGGTAATCAGGCACCCACCTGGATAACGAGGGAATACAATTCAAGTTGTTGGTAATCATGCACCCACCTGGATAACGAGGAAATACAATTAAAGTTGTTGGTAATCAGGCACCCACCTGGATAACGAGGGAATACACTGCAAGTTTTGGTAATCAGGCACCCACCTGGATAACGAGGGAATACAATTCAAGTTGTTAGTAATCAGGCACCCACCTGGATAACGAGGGAATACAATGCAAGTTTTGGTAATCAGGCGCCCACCTGGATAACGAGGGAATACAATTCAAGTTGTTGGTAATCAGGCACCCACCTGGATAACGAGGGAATACAATTCAAGTTGTTGCACCCACCTGGATGAAGATGGAATAAAATTCAAGTTGTTGGTAATTAGGCTCCCACCTGGATAATGAGGGAATCCAATTCAAGTTTTTGGTAATCAGACGCCCACCTGGATAACGAGGGAATACAATTCAAGTTTTGGTAATCAGGCGCCCTCCTGGATAATGAGGTAATATAATTCAAGTTGTTGGTAATCAGGCACGCACCTGGATAACGAGAGAATACAATTCAAGTTTTGGTAATCAGGCACCCACCTGGATAACGAGGTAATATAATTCAAGTTGTTGGTAATCAGGCGCCCACCTGGATAACGAGGGAATACAATTCAAGTTTTGGAAATTAGGCACCTACCTGGAGAACTAGGGAATCCATTTCAAACTCTTTTTAAAGTCATTTCAGAATTCAATTCATGTTAGAAGTAGCAGAAGCTCGCGGCAAGAATGCGAGTCAACAGTCCGAAGTGACCAATAGAAGTAGTCTCAATCCAAAGAAGATAAAAAAGAAAGAAAAGAAAGAAAGTGAATCCAAAATGCAGAAGCAGAAAAAAATGTGAACTGCTCAAGACGTGGTTGAAGTCACGAGCGCTACATGTCCGGTTTTGATTCGAAAAAGCTAAAGAAGAACGAGCTAGCACCTGCAGCTAACGAGCATCAAGGTTCAAATCTAAAATCTGCATGAAGAACCATTCAAGACTCAAGATCAAGCTTCAGAAGACTTATAGATAGGAATTTTGTAACTCATAGTGACAGGCTTAGTTAGAGCTTTTCATTTTTTGATTTTGATGTAATAATAGGACCGCGGACCGGAACCTCAACGAAATGGTACCTCGATCGGCTCTCCACCTCGGTATACTCCATCATCTCACTCACTTCTGAACTACACGTGGCCTGATTCTTTTATAGCTAAGGATATGTAGGCAGCTCAGATACCAGGGCTCGGTCACATTCTCTTCCTTTCTCTTAGTTTTTGGTCTTTCTAAATAAGAGTCGGGTCAAAAAACCTGTCTAGTCGTTCTTTGTCTGAAAATACTTCATATTTCCAGTCAAAGAGGGGCAGCTGTAGACATGTAATTTTTGACCCTCCCCGAGATTTTATTCTTTTTAGCATTTAAATACTTAGTTTAGGTCTAATATAGTTATTTCAACTAATTTTGACTCTTTTACATTATCTTTGGCACAAAAATAGAAATTACAAAAAAAAATAGTTTCATTAATATTTTGTAGTCATACTATTTTACTACGATTTTTATTTTTACATAATCTTGAAAAATACCAAAATAGTTTCATAGTATAATATTTGTTTTAATTAATTATGATTAGTTTTTTATTTTTATTTTATAAATTTTATATCATTTTTCAAAAGGAAGAGTGAGTTTTTGGGTTAGTTTATCACATTTTTAATGAGATAGATCCATTTTTAATCTTTTGGCCCAATTTTTAAGCCCAGCAAGACCTAACCCAATACCCTTTCTTCTTTAAACCCTTACACCCCACCCCTAGGGTCTGCTTCTAGAACCTTAGACTAGAACACAAAAAAAAAACTAGCTGAACTTTAAGAACCCCAGGGGCGCCCATCGTCTTCTTCGAGAGGCTAGCTGAACCATAGTAAGAGAGACCCAAAAAGACTCCAAGCCATCAGAAGCCTGAACACGACCAAACTCGCCAGAAAAGAGATCAGCTCCCATATCCTCCTCTCATCAAGCAAACGACCACCCATCGCCGCCACTCCGTCAACCAGCCTCCCGCGCAGCAGCAAGTCCGGCGACAAACCAACAGCTTTCCACCTCTGGCCCTTCCAAAAACCAACGAAGAACAACCAGGTAAACATCGACCAACTAACCCACCAGCAACCCTGCCACCGCCGTTCCTCTGCTGTCAACCAGCAGCATCCGCAAGCTGCGAAAGAAAAACAAAAAAACTCAAGAGAGTTTGCTGTTAGTGTTCATTCTTGAATTCATAGAAAAACAAGTTTCGTCATGATCTAGAAAGAAAATAATGTATATCATCCTTTTAAGAATTACAAATAGCTTAAGTCTCCTAACATCTGATAACAAAGTGAGAACGAGAGGATGGGTTTGGACTAGAGTGTCCCAGTTATCCTTAGACTCACGAAGGCATTCTCGGTTTCGAGCTTGGGGGGCGTCCGTACGAGGTTTCCGGTCCAGGTTCGTAGGCTTGAAGCAACTACTGATGTGCACTTGATTTGGAGTTTTACTATTCAATATAAAAGAGGGACTCATCTAAGGTTCAATCTTTCTCTTTCCTTTGTTTTTTTTGGGTTTATCTCCATGAGTTGTTTGCGTTTGTTTACTGTTCATGCTTGTTCATGCTTCAATGGTTGTTTTGTGAACTACTTGCAAATTTTGGCTTCAGATTCCTTTGAGTCTTGTTTTGTTTGGAACTTTAATTATCAACTATTTTGTATTAAAGCTTAAGTTGAATGGAGACATTAAGTGGGGTTGGGGATAATTGTGATTAAGTGGTATTGATTTGCACGTCATTTAGTAAATAAATTAAATAATAGACTATAAGCTTGTAAATAAAATCGAATATTTAGGCATGTGTTGATTTTTATTAATTTCGTTTATTTACTTGCCAAAAATCAGTAGTATACTTAGGTTTGCTAACACGGGTAGGCAAGCCTTAGGATTTTGTTAGTTTCGAGGCGAGATGTCGTTCCCTTAGTTAAATTTACCCGGGGAATGTCCCGAGAGATTTGTATATATTTTATTCCGAGGAATGCCCCGTAGAACTTTGTAATGAGAAGTCAAAAGTAGAACTTGTAGTGTTTTATTATTATTTTCTATTTTCTTTTATTAGGTGGGGACGATCTCGAGCCTCATGTGTGTTTATTTTATTTTTTCGTGATTTTACCTCAACTTGAATATTTTAGTAGCCAACTTGATCGAGTTCGCAACCGTACTAGTTATGGGACTTGGGGAATGCCTAACACCTTCTCCCCGAGTCAAATGAACCCCCTTACCCGATTCTCTGGTGCGGACTTAGTTTTAGAGTCTGAAATGTTTTAAAAGGAAAAGTCATTTTAAAAGAAAATCGGTGACCTGACATACCGAAATCAAAGTCAGGTGGTGATTCTGAGTTATTTTCCTTTTGAATACAAATTTTGTCACTTTCAAAATTGAAAACCCTTTTCAAGCTTTTCACTAAATCTTTTTATTCTTTTTAAGAGGGTTTGGTGAGTTTGATAAAAAGGGGGTATGACAAGTGTAAAGGATGAAGGGTGATGCCGTGCAATGTATTGTGAGTGATTGATAATGCACGAAGGGTGATGCCATGCCGTATTCTGTGAGTGATAATGCACGAACACTACTGAAAAATTGGTCTACGGTAACGCTTGAAAAACCGTTCCCACAGACTGTCAAACCGTTGCCATAGGGATATTGGAACGGTTTACAGACCATTACATCAGCCCGCGTGCCCATAGGTCTATTGGAACGGTTCTTGCAATGGTTTGCATCGCCATGACTATAGATACATCTATTTCAACGGTTTTTCCTTCCTCTGTTGGAACGATTATTTTTTCCAATTGGAACGGTTTAAAACCGTTACTATATTGTTTAAACAATGGTTCTTAACTATTACCATATTATTTAAAGCAACACTTATGTAAGCTATTGCTACAGTTACGTTGGATATAGCAACGATTTATTTAAGCTATCGTAACAGTTATATTTGTATTTGGAACGGTTTGTAGATAATTTTGGAACCGTTTACAGGACCTATTGCAACGGTTTATATTGTCTACTAGAACGCCATTTATGTCCTATTGCAGCGGTTCTGCTAGGCTATTGTATCAGTTCATTTAAAACCAAAATATAGCACTTGTTATAAATAAATATTTATACACATAATAAATTAATAACACCAAAATTCAAATACATCATAAATGAAACTATTAATAATATAAAATTATCCATCAAGCAAATAATATCCATAAAGCAAATGTTCTACCCTATGAGTGCATAAGTTTAGTACATTTCAAGAGAGTAAATAAGTTTCAAAAATGTTGGTAACAAAAGATTCCTACAACATTCATCTATGACAATTCAAAATTCATCTCAAGTAAGGTCTAGTTCTTCATCGTCTTCATCATCTATTTCTTGTTCTACTCCATCTACAAAAGAGAATAAATAAAGTTATTACCCTTCAAGAGAATCCGGTCTAAGAATACTCACGAATGTGGTTCCGATGCACCACGACAAGCAGCTTTGGGGTGAAGACGTTAACGAATTCAAACCAGAAAGGTTTAAAGATGACATGTACGGTGGATGCAAACACAAAATGGGATTCTTGCCTTTTGGTTTTGGAGGAAGAATGTGCATTGTTTACAGTGATTTTTATGCCTTTTGGTTTTGTGTTTACTGCTGCTGTTCAATGGCATACACTGCATTTTTACATGTTTACAGTGATTTCTTGCTGTTTGGTTCAAAAAACAGCACAATATCAACAAGAAGAGAAACAGAAGACATGCAGCAGACAAAAACAGTACGGGTATATAAAAGGATCCAATTTTTATTCCATTTTTATTTTACATATATTTAGGTTTCTCTGCTAACATACAAGCCTGTAACTATAATATCCAATTCCATTTTCTCTAAAAAATCATCATGATCATAACTGCTTCTTTTGCAAAATTACTCAAAATCAGGAAAAAATAAACACACACACTAGTTTCATAAATCAAGACTTACTCAGGCCTTTCAGCTAAAAATTCTACACACATACACACACTAGCCTTTCAGCTAAAAAGTTTGCGCCCCCACCCCACACTCACACCAATTTCTTAAATCAAGTTTTACACATGCCTTTCAGCTAAAACGTCTTCACACACACACAGAGCGAGTCTATAGTTCATAGCTTCTGTTTATGAGTAATTCATGGACAAGGGCTGTAAACATTAAATTGGTACGTATTGACCTTGATTGTTACTACCAGCAGATGGTCGATTGTTTAGTTGAACAGCAGCTTGTTGTGCAGAGAAAGCTTCTACAGGTGAACGTGCACTGAACCTTAACATGTCAGGATCAAGTCACAAATCTGGGTTCAGACGCTGAAGTCGTGCGATGACGTTCATTGTAATATTTTGTTCCATAGCATCCTTTTGTTCGTTCAACTTTTCATGCATTCTTTGTTGCAACATCTCTTCCATTTCCTCCATTTTCTGTTGCATCCTCTCATCAGTAGCATCTAAAGAAGATCCAAGATTCCCTTTTTGCCCTTTTAACACAGTCTTGGTAACCCCTCGTCCATACAATCTCACGCGACCTGGATGTTCAGGTCCCATGACTGATGCATAAGCGTCAACTGAATGACTGCCATCTTCACTTTCCCGAGTTGATTGTATTCTCTCCATTTCAGCCTACAAACCAAATGTGAGAGAATAGAGTTTAAGTAACTAAAATTAGAAATTTCTAATTTTATAATCACGACAAACTTTAAATTAGAAATTTCGTACAATTTTACTAATCGTATTGTCGTATGCGCTTTTGTATACTCGGCTAAGTTTTCTTTTTCTTGTAGCCACAAAGATGTCCTTACTTGATAGAGTATCTGAAGTATCAGAGATTTTCTTTTTTTTTTCCTAGCTACATGAAATCAGGTATAACAATCTTTCCATATAAAGTTAGCAACTTCATAATTTAAAAATAAATAAATAAGAAAAATAAAACATCAAACCTCGCGAATTAGAGCAAAAGGTGTTCTGCCAGCAGTGTGCGGACACTTCAACTTATTTCGATTTTCTGTATTTGGTTTAGGACATTTTCTCCAAATAAACGAGTCAACATTTGCTTAGCTACTTTTGAATTCATAACCCTCGTTACTCTTTTCCTCTTGTTTTCCCTTGTTTCAAAAAGGGACCATAAATCTGAACTAGTTTCAGTTCCTTATTATCACATTAAAGCATAGCCACTACATTCAATTTGCCTACTCAGGAAAAGTAAAGCTGTCTTGAACAACATAAAGATAGTCGATTTTCAACCCCCCTATATTTCATTAACTGTACTCTCCCGCCCCCAAATGTATTAAATGAAGCATGCCCTTTAAACTAATGCAGAGAGTTGAGCTTTTTTATCTCTAGTTTACAGAGTGTGAACAAAAGGTATTCCGAATGTAATTACCTTGTGAGGATCGGAGTTCCAATATTTAAGAAAATCCTTAAAGTGAGATTTCGAAACATCTACTGTCCTATTTTCCATTCGAAGCTCATCATGCGCATAGGCTGTGAAGTGGTTTGTCTTCAATTGACTCTTATACTTTCTCCAAGTACTACAAACTGATTCAAAAACCCATTGTTTCGCCTCGTCAGGAATGTCATATTTTTCCTACAAATTTAGTGCAATTGGGTTAGTGTAAGAAATAAGAAATACCATCCATATTTATTGGACATTGAGAACTTCATACCTTGATATATTTCCACATATCATCTTTCGTGTGTAGTTTCCTCCAATTAAATACATTAAGAGGACAAAAAGTCCCACTCCTTGCCAATGTGCCGAGGAAGCTACCCAACTCTTTAACAACTTCTTTAGTAGGACCAACGGGTTGATTATACTCATTTAGAATGATTATTTTACGCTCCTTTCTACCATGAACACTTGGCATTTGAGTACGACCTCTTTTTCTTTTTGGCGAGGAGGGGCCTGCAATAGTACAAAGCAAAGATAATCATTAATCACTATTTTTAGTTAATTTTATGATTAAAATTTATATATATTTGCCTTGTTCCTCAATTTGTTCAATTGCTTCATGATTGGTAGAATCATCAGATCGTTCATGTACTCCCTGTGATGCAGGAGTGATGGAATTCATATTCGCTTGTTGCACTTGTTCATGTACTCCTTATGCTGCTGAAGAGGTGGAATTCCGTGGCACTTGCTGCACTTGTTCTTGCAATTGAGATCCTAATTCCGAATGTCGTTATTCATTTTCATTTGACTTTATATTCAAGACTCTTTTTGTTGTCAACAACGAAACCTTTTGGTTTCGCAAAGATGGAGGTAATCCAACTTCTGATTGTCATTCTTCATTTTCAGTTGACCTTGTAGCTTGAAAGGTTCTTTTTGTTGTCAACAACGAAACCCTTTGATTTCGCAATGATGCAAGTAATCCCGTTGGAATGCGGTTGGAGATTTTCTTCTTTTTGCTTGAGCACCCTTCTTGATTCATGACTATTCAAACATTGTTCAGATTCTGAAAAGCAAACACAATATAGAATAGCAAAACCAACAACAAAAAGGTAAATAGATTTGGTCACAAACTACTGATTGTTTTGTCCATTATAAAGAGAGATTGGTCCATCAGAATAGCTGTTATTCTGGCTCAAGAAGTGAAAGACTAACACATATTTTTTCAATTAGACGCAAGCAACAATTCCATTCATTTAAAAAATTAAGCACACAAAGAACAAGGTAAACTTAATATGAACTAATATAATGTTTACACTAGTTAAGAGTTACTTAACAAACAAGAAGAGAAAGATTAAAAACATGACAGAAAAACTAGTGGACTCCTAAAAACACAACTGGCCCAAGCTGGTGCAGAAATAATTGTAACACTGCAAAAATTTCAGCTGTCAAGCAGATTCAGGAAATGTGCAAATTTCAACTTATTCTGCTGCAGGTGGTGTTGTCAAAACACAATCAGTGTGTGGAGTAAACTGATTGTGTAACTAAACTGGTGCTAAAACTAGGCTGCAGTATGTGCTGTGTTAATAAACACAATCACAATTTGTAACCAAACTGGTGCACCAAAGCAGCTAAAACTAGGCAGGAAAATTGAACTGCAGGTATGTGAATTCTGCAGCAAACTCACAACCAATGACTTCAAAAGAGTGTTGAAATTTTCTCTCAAACATTGGCCCAATGCCTACTGATTTCGCAGCTCAAATGAGGTCCCAAGCTACAAATTTCAGCAGCTCGAATTGGTGCAAAATACTGTGCAAATTTAAGCAGCCCCGTTCAGTTCAAATTGTGTAGAAAACCAGCTCTAACTACAGTATGTGCTGTGTTAATATTTGAAGTTAAGACTTGTGATATCTTTGACTTTTGCATCTTCTTAGGTGTATATGCTAGAACAGGACCTGACTATCAAAATTATACAAAGTGTAACGACCCGGCCAATCGTTTTTAGAATTTACGCCCCGATCCCCTACTAACTGTTTTCCCCGAGTTTGTTTCTTCTATTTTGATTCGGCGGGATGTTTGGTTTTGAGTTTTGGAGTGTTTTGGGAGACTTAGTCCCTAAATGAGAGCTTAAGCTTTAGAATTTGGACCGTAGTCGGAGCAGTATGAAGACGGCCTTGGAATGGAATTCCGTCGGTTCTGTTAGCTCCGTTGGATGATTTCGGGATTAGGGGCATATTCAGATTGTATTTTGGAGGTGCGTAACATATTTAGGCTTGAAATGCTGAAAGTTGAATTTTTAAAGTTTCCGGTTCGATAGTGAAATTTTGATATCGGGGTCGGAATGGAATTCCGGAAGTTGGACTAGCTCTGTAGTGTTGAATGTGACGTGCTTGCAAAATTTCAGATCATTCGGACGAGATTTGATAGACTTTTTGATCGAAAGCGTAATTTGTGAGTTTTTAGAATTCTTAAGCTTGAATCCGATGTTAAATTGGTGTTTTGAGCGTTCCAAAGATTGGAACAAGTTTGAATGATGTTTGAGGATTGGTTGACATGTTTGGTTGAGGTCCCGGGGGCCTCGGGTGTGTTTCGGATGCTCAACGAGTCATTTTTGGAACTTAGAAAATTGCAGAAAAAGTTGCAGCAGTCAGTTCTGGTTTCCTTCTTCGCGTTCGCGAGTGGGGTTCTCGCGTTCGCGAAGAGGAACTGGGGCTGGTAGAGGATTTATGCTTCGCATTCGCGAAGGTAATCCCGCGTTCGCGAGGCTGTGGGACCTTATGCCTACGCGTCGCGAAGGCAGTCTCGCGTTCGCGTAGGAGAAGAGAAAATGATCATCGCATTCGCAGCTCGGGCGTCGCGTTCGCGAAGAGGAAGATTGGCCAGTGGAATTTTAGTGCATCACGCTCGCGACTGTTGCCTCGCATTCGCGAAGAAGAACGCATCTGGGCAGAATGTTTAAGTTCAAAATCGAGGGTTTAGCCATTTTTGTGAAAACTAGAGCTTGAAAGCTCGGATTTGAGCGAGGTTTTGAGGAATTTTTTGAGATATCGATTAGGTAACGATTCTTAACTCCTTTTTACTTGTAACCTATTAATCTAAACATGAATTCATCATTTAATTTCGAAATTTGGATGAAAATTGAGGGAAAGTTCTTAGACCTAAATTTCGAGTTTTGATTGGGGATTTGACATTGGACAAGGATAATTTTGGTATGGTTAGGCTCGTGAGAGTATGAGGATTCTGAAAATGTAAATTTTACTCGATTCCGAGACGTGGGCCCAGAGGACATTTTGGTTATTTTTTTCCTAATTTCGCGTGTTAGCTTAGAATTAATTAGTGGAATAAGTTACTTGAAGTGTTATTTACATTATGCAATTTATTTGAATAGATTTGGGCCATTTGCAGTTGAGTACTCATGGCAAGAACGTGATTTCGGGTTGATTTTGAGCCGGTTCGAGGTAAGTGGCTTATCTAACCTTGTGTGGGGGAAACACCCCTTAGGATTTGGTATTGTTGATAATTGAAATGCCTTGTACGTGAGGTGATGAGTGCGTACTTGTGCTAATTGTTGAAAATCCTATTTTCATTAAGTAACTTTAGTTGTGTTTTCCTTTTCTGTTTATTCTACTTGCAATTCAAGCCTGCTACTAGCTTAGGGAATCGTGCCTAATTGTGTTAATTGCTTTATTTGCTCAAACTGCCTTATTTGGACTATGTGAAGCATGCTAGTTTAGAAATACCTATTTTTCCTTGGTGTGGAATTTAATTTAATCGATATTCTTCGTGTTGTTGCTGCGTGTTTACTTTGGGACTATGAGACGGTATCCTGAGAGATCCCCTGCACATATATATATTGATTTGGACAGTAGTGCAGGATACCAAGAGATCCCCAACACATATTGAGGATACTAAGAGATCCTTGGGATACCGAGAGATCCCCAGCATATATGTATTGAGGATAATATGAGATTCTCGGGATACCGAGAGATCCCCAGCACATATTGAGGATACTAAGAGATCCTCGGGATACCGAGAGATCCCCAGCACATATTGAGGATACTAAGAGATCCTCGGGATACCGAGAGATCCCCAGTTGTTATTTTCATGTTGAGATGTATTCCTTTCCCTGATTATCTTGTCTCTGTTATAATTGATGTTGTTCTTTCGATCCTGTGTTATTTCTTACTGTTGCACTTAATTATACTGTCTTTTTCTATACTGTTATACCTTGTAGTTTATTTAACCTCAGTAGGGCCCTGACCTTCCTCGTCACTACCCAACCGAGGTTAGGCTTGACACTTACTGAGTACCAATGTGGTATACTCATACCCTTTTTTGTGCATGTTTTTCATGTGTAGATCCAGGTACTTCCACTCAGTCTTATCACACTTGAGGCGAGGCATTTTCATAGAGACTTCGAGGTATATCTGTCGCGTCCGCAGACCAAAGAATCCCTTTCTATTCTCAGTACTAGTATAGCCCTTCTATATTTTCCTTGTTGATAGATGTTTCTGGAGTAAGAGCTTTTTTATGTAAACTCTTAGCTTGTGATTTACGCGGTTCCGGATTTTGGGAGTGTTAGGTTGAGATTTTGTACTGTTATATGCCAGGCGGCATCTTAAACACTATTTCATTTGTTATTTCGGTTTCTAATTATTTTCTTTCCGTAAATTATTTCTTTTCCGCATTTTGTTACGCTTACCTAGTCATAGAGACTAGGTGTAATCACGATTGTTCATAGAGGGCGAACTTAGGTTGTGACAAGTTGGTATCCCGGGGATAGGGCAGCGGTTTCTAAGGATGAGCAGCTGAGGCTTGAGAGGTTCAAGAAGTACAAGCATCCTGTATTCAGTGGTCTAGCATCAGATGATGCTCTAGGATTTCTAGATGAGTGCTACCGTATTCTCCGTACCATGGGTATATCAGGATCGAGCAGGGTTTCCTTCACTACCTTCCAGCTTCGAAGAGACGCCTATCAGTGGTGGCACACCTATGAGTTAGAAAATCCGGATGAGGCTGCTTCCCTGACTTGGACTCAGTTTTTAGATATGTTCCCGAGAGAGTATGTCTCTTAAAGCCTCAGCGACGCATGGCGCACAGAGTTTGAGCATTTGCGCTAGGGTACTATGACTGTCTCGGAGTATGCTGTCCGTTACACTAGCTTGGCTAGACATGCCCTAGCTCTGGTTTCTACTGTTCACGAGAGGGTTCGACGGTTTATTAAGGGGCTTATTCCCAGCATCAGGTCTAGCATGGCTCGCGTGTTGGAGATGGATATTTCTTATCAGCACGTGGTGAACATTGCTTGGAGGATTGGGGGTAAGCATGCTAGGGATATAGAGGAGAGGGAGGCCAAGAAGTCTCGAGAGTCGGGCCATTATTCTGGTGCCCGTGCCCCAGCTGCAGGTCGTCATGGTAGGGGTTATATGAGTTGCACCGTACATTCAGCTCTTCCAGCAGCCAGTGGTATTCCAACTCCTCCTAAGCCTCAGGAGCCTTATTATGCACCTCTAGTGTCTAGTGCGTCTCCTGTGCAGGGTGCTTTCAGAGATCAGTCCAGCAGACCTGGCTCGAGCCAGTCACAGCCGTCGCGTCCTCCCAGGGCTTGCTTTGAGTATGGTGACACATGCCACGTGGTGACGGATTGCCCTAGACTTGGGAGGAGTGTGCCTCCATAGACTTCTCAGCCACAACGTGCACTGTAGAGTTCTTAAGCTATGGTTACAGCTCCAGTTGCTACCCCACCTGCTCAGCCAGCTAGAGGTGGAGGTCGGGGAGGTAGAGGTCGCCCTAGAGGGGGAGGCCAGGTCCGATACTATGCCCTTCCTGCCCATACCGAGGCTGTTGCCTCCGATGCTACCATCACACGTATTGTACTGGTTTGTCACAGAGATGCATCAGTTCTATTCGATCCAAGCTCCATTTATTATTATGTATCTTCTTATTTTGCTCCGCATTTGGATGTACCTCGGGATTCTTTGAGTTCCCCTGTTTATGTTTCTACTCTTA